AATCTTTGTTAAAATAATATTTGTATATTAATTTTATCTATGTTGGTGATAACGCCGATCCTTATTCTAAATTTTCATTTGTGATGCTTACATGAAAATTACTTCTCTCATAGTTAAATATAAAAGTGAGTTCCATAAAAGTTACCCTCTCCATTTGAAAATAAATGTTATTTTTTAATTTTTTAATTAAATATTTAGAAATAATTTATATATTTACCTTAATTATCTTCAAAACTCAAATTTGATTTAAAAATAAATTATTTTAATCTTTTTTAATAAAATCTTATTGAAACAATGTAGTATTAAGGTGTTTTTCTTAATTTTTTAAAAACTTAATTGAGAAATACTTTTCACATAAAATAAAATAAATTTCTACCAAACAAATAAAATAAAAGAAAAAGATAAATAATTAATTTATGAATATTTTAATAATTAAATTTAAGAAATCTTTTAATATTCCATAATAAAAATTTATGAAACTAAAATGGTTTTTATCAAACCTAATTTGTTTGATTTAAAACGTAATCAACTCTAAAATCAAACTAGAAAGAAATTCATACAAATATATGAAATAAAAAAACAATTACTACAAAAATAGCACCAAATAAAAAAAGATTAAAAAATTTTCATACAAATAAAAAAGATATAATGCAAAATATATTTATAAAATAAATAAATATTTTATAAAAGTTACACTAATTATTATTGTTGAACTTAAAATAATTAAAATACTTTTAAAGATCAAAATAGTTACAATTAATAACAAAATAAAATATATTTGCAAAATACAGTAAAAATTTTTTTTTTCTTACCTAATCACCATCATCAATTCACTAAAAGAAATAGTATAAAATGAGAAGAAAAAATAATAAGATAACCATTATTTCTCAATTAACAAAAATAAAAAAATCAAAACTTCATGATAAGTTTTTTTTTTTTTTGGTAAATAGGGGATAAACGTCAAGATATGTGGATATTGCTCTTTACCAATAGCATAGCCACGTTTTTATAATGGGCTAAAATTAACATTCAACCCTTCATCTTATAAAATTAATAAGTTTTAAACCCTAATCTTATAATATTATCTTTTTAACTTTTTATCTAATAAAATTAATAAGTTTTAACCCTTACTTTATATTATGATACTTTTAACTTCTTATTTAAATGAATTGAAAAAAATATTCCTTATTTAACATTAAGTTTTAATATTCTATTAGTTTTTTAGTTAATTATTAGTTTTGTTAATTGATTATCAGTTTTATTAGCTGACTGTTAATTCTGTTAGTTAATTGTTAACATCTATTAGCATCTATTAGCATTCCATTCATGAAACTAACAAATAAAATTAAATTTAAATTTCATATTTTTATAATGAAATACTAAAAGATATTAACAGTCAACTAATAGAATTAACAAAATATTATAATTTAATATTAAGTGAGGGTTATTTTTTTTAATTCGTATCAGTAATGAATTAAAAATATCATAATATAAAATAAAAAGTTAAAATTTATCAATTTTATAATTTATTAATTTTATATAATAAAAAATTAAAATTATCACATTATAAAATAAAAAATTAAAACTTACAAACTTTATAATACGAATTAAATGTTGGTTTTCACCTTCAAAGTGGTAGTGGTGTTGCCTGCCTCCCAGCAAAGCTAAGCAAGCAGGGAACAACTTTACGCAGAAGTCCGGAAAAACAATTCAGAAAAAGCAATTATTAGGCTATAGAAGACAGAAAATGTCAATATGTCACTGTGTAATTGTACAATTATTGACTGGGTGGAAATGTACAATTATTTAGCAGCACCAGACGCTGTAGACTAGGCGGTGAGGGTCTAGAGCTCAGCGCCATGTGAAATGTGTCCTTGAAACCTCCTCTAGACATCAGGACATGACAGCTATTAATGGAGTC